CGGGGGTGAGGGCGATCCCGGGCTGGACTTACCCTGGAGACGCCACTGCCGGGGGCCCGCACACTTCCCGAGGCCCGGGATCTGCGGGCTGGCGAAGAGGGTGCAGGCGGCCGGAGCCCCGCAGCGGAGGATGCGCCAGGTAGCAGCCCGAGCCCCCCTCCCTCCTCTCCGCCCGCGGGTCCGGCCAACTCCGGCTTCTGCCGCGCGTCCCTGGCTCGGAGCTGCGCTGCGGAAAACCCGAGCGGGGGCGGCTCCCCGCCTCGCAGCCCGGGAAAATCCGGGGGTGGCCGCCAGGGATCTCCAAGCGGCCTGGGCGAGGCAGCCCGATCTTGCCTCCCAGATATGGGCCCCCAATCTGGCGCTCCGACCCTAGGCCCGTCGGTTTAGTCCTTGCCTCCCATCTCTCCGCAGAGCGCCCAGACGACGGCAAGATGACCGCCGGGAGCCCCGGAGACTTCGGAGAGTTGCGGAGGAGCCCCGAGGGCCGCGTCTCTCGCCTGGGCCGCCGCCTGGGCCGCCGCCGGCGCCCGCGCTCCCCGCCGGAGCCTCTGCGGGTGCGGGCACGGCTGCGGCTGCGCTCGCCGTCGGGGGCGTTTGCCGCGCTGGGGGCGCTCGTGGTGCTGGTGGGCATGGGCATCGCCGTAGCCGGCTACTGGCCGCACCGCGCCGGGGCCCCAGGGCCACGCGCTGCCAATGCCAGTGCGCCCCCCCTGAGCGAGCTGCGACGCGAGGGTCGCGGCGCCGGCCGGGGCCACGGCCCGCACGAGCGGCTGCGGCTCCTTGGGCCTGTGGTCATGGGCGTCGGCCTGTTCGTGTTCATCTGCGCCAACACGCTGCTCTACGAGAACCGCGACCTGGAGACGCGACGGCTTCGCCAGGGGGTGCTGCGGGCTCAGGCGCTCCGGCCGCCTGACGGCCCTGGCTGGGACTGCGCTCTCCTCCCCAGCCCCGGACCCAGGACTCCCCGAGCCATAGGTTGCACAGAGCCAGAAAGTTGGGACCTGTCCCCGCGTCGGGGTACCTCACCCGTTCCATCAGTGCGGAGTCTGCGCTCAGAGCCTGCGAATCCTCGCTTGGGGTTACCTGCTTTGCTCAACAGTTACCCGCTGAAGGGCCCGGGCCTGCCCCCACCCTGGGGTCCACGGACCCAGACTGGCCATGTGATTATCACCGTGCAGCCCTCTGGTTCCTGCATCGAACATTCCAAGTCTCTGGATCTGGGCCTTGGGGAGCTTCTGCTTCGGGCCCCAGCGCCTCGAGACTGTGCTCACGGGAGCTGGCCCCGGCTGGACCGCCTCAGCCTGGGGGGTTATGCCAAGTTGGAAGGAGGAGGGGACTTGGGAGCCCGGGTTTGAAGAGCAGAGGACAGCCTGCTAGGAGGCTGCCGCATGGACCGTGGTAACAGGACCAGAAGTCCCAATGTCTAGTAGATGCATCAGTCACTTCCCAGACTGGAGGTGGATGCTCTGGCCCCAGCAGCTGCTAAGGCATCCTGACTTGCATGTCGGCAGAGAAATGCCAACTGCACAAGGGTTCAATCAGCTGGAGAGAATGTGTTTTCACGTGGAGTCTGGAGGCCAGCATGACTTGGCCTCGGGAATTCTTTAAGCCTCCAAAAGTGGCCTTAGCCTTGGACAGGTACCTGAAGGTGCTGGAGGTCCAGGCTGGGGTGATTGGGAGATGCCGCTGGTGTCTCGGCAGACCCAGAGTGGTGGGCAAGGACCCCTAAAACTTGAAAGGTAGGTTGGTTGGCATGTGACAGGCTGGGCCAAGCTCCGTCCACCGTGGCATCGGTTGCGGGGTGGGGGGAGATGGGCAATGAAGTAGATTTGAGATCCTCCACTGCCATCTGGGATGGGGACTGAGACTTTAACTCCCACCACCTCAGCCCCTCTGTCCCCTCAGCCATGCAGGGTACACCCACTAGGGCTACACTACTGCCAAAGCCTTCTCCTGAGGGTCTGGCCCCTCCCTCAACAGGTCTGAGAAGCCCCCTGCTCTCCTTTGTCGTGGCCTGTGCAAAATTTCCCCCCAGCTGGCAAAAAGCATCCGCCAGTTGTACTTTTCTACAACGTCGAAGCTGCATCTGGGCCAATGTGGGTAGCTTACTTTAGAAAAGGGTCTTTTCTAGGGTCAAAAATTTGGGTCTCCCTTACCCATGTTGAATTTTTCCCAGATTGCTGGTAGGAGAAAAGGACTTTAAAGGTTGATCGACTCTCACAGATTCAGTACTGGGTTTGTTTTTTGTTTTTTTTTTCTTTGTTTATTGAAAAATGCAATACAAGAAGCAAGACCAAACACGTATCTAAACACTACACCACTTCTCTTACTACAAAAGGCCAAAACAGCAGACCTAATTATTGCCTTTTTAATCTAAGGATTTTGCCAATTTGATTCTGCTGCCATAGTTCCTATTTTGTCAAGAAATGTAAACAACTACTTTATATGATTCATAATTTAAAAAAAATTTACAAAGCTCCTTCATTTTTGTCACCAAAATAATACATTTGAGAGAGATTTGTAAAAACCACCAGCCTGGGGCTGACATCCTGGGCAGATCTTCCCAACGAGCATTCCTTGATGTCAGTCAGGCCGAAGCTCTGGTTCCACTTCCCAGGGCAGACCGGGGTCCCTCCCCCTAGGCTGCCATGCAGGGCCTGCAATGGGGGGGGGGGCTGGGTGGGCAGGCGAAGAGGCCCCGAGAGGTCCCTGCAGCCAGGTTCTGTGGGCCCTTGGCTTAGAAATTTAGGTCCTGCTTGGTGGGTGGGTGGGTAGGTGGGTGGCAGAGACCTCATGTGGCTTGGAGGAAGTCTTTACTTCTCAAGTGGAATAAAAATAAAATTGCAGTGAGAGTTGTCACTGTGGTGTGTCTGAGTCACTTCAGGAAAACGGCTGCCAAGTCTCTGACCCTGGAAATGAAGCTCTCTCCTTCCTTCTTCACCATTTCCACCTGGACAGAATCTGTTTTTCTTCACACACACACACACACACACACACACAACACACAAATGCACACATAACTGCAGGATGAAAAAAAAAAAAATCCAAACAATTGTCAAAGCCCCAGGTCTGTTCCCAGAGAGGGAGGATAGGGGAAGAAGCTTGGAAGGACATCCTCTTCCCAGCTTTTCCAAGTTGTGGCTTCTCAGCGCTGCAAGGGCATTTGAGATCTTCTGGCCCAGTTTACAGTCAAGGAAGCAGAGGAGAAGCACCGTGAGCTGGTGACAAAGCCACGGGGGCGTGCAGGCCCCCATCAGCAGTGTGGACAGCACACCAGCGTGGACAGTGGACAACTCGGTGGGCCCTCTTCCTCACCCCCACCCTCTCATTCCACAGCTGTCAGCTCTGGGAGCTGGGAGCGCTTTCAGCAGGACAGCTGGCCGCTGGAAAGCAAGCTCACGTTACATGCTATTTGATGTGAGCTGGATTCTAAACCTCACCGCCAGGCTTAGGCAGCAACAAGCCAGCCCCATCATGTCGGACCCTATGGCCACAGGCCAGAAGACTGCTCCTGAGACAGGACAGTCCTTTCTCCCAGGCCTGTCACACGTCCCACCTGAGTTCTTCCTGTCCCTCTCCAGAGAGCTGCCTCGTGGTTAGTAACAGGCTCACATAAGTACTAAATGAAAAATGCACACGTCTGAAATCAGTTCAATCCAACCGACTTTGTCTAGAAGACTCAGCCAGTAGAGGCTTTGGACACATGCAGCTGGCCCCCACTGTGGGGACCAGAGGTTTTACACTTCTCTCACTCATGCCTCCTGAGCGACTGCCGACTGTGACCCACTGTCTAGCTCATGAAGTTCACTTCTGTCCCACCATAAGATTCTAAGAACTTCCAGGCAGATGTGTTTGTGGGAAGCCAGCTGGAAGATTTGGGAAGCACTATTGAATAAAAAGGCCCCCAGATCAACCAGTAATGGTGGAACTGGGCTCATCGGTCAGTCCCATTTCTAAAACTAAGGGGAAAAAAATTAGAAGTAAAATAAACCCACAACCCACCACAAAGATCAAGCCTACAACACCTGACAGACCTCAGATGGCGAGTGGGAATGAGCAGAGCTGGTGTTGGTACTGCCTAGCGTGTGGGGTTTTGTGGGAAGGACGGCCCCTAAAAGCCAATTCCCTTGCTCCAGAAGGGTGTCTGCAGGCAGGTACCGGTCAGGAGAAGAAAGGTCAAGGAACACAACCTCCTCTCTGAGTCACATTTCCAATCATCCCAGGATTAAAGAAAAAGGCCCAGGGTTGGTCACCTGGAAATACTTCTTAGTGGGATCTGACTGAGGTAAACACCATTCCCCTGTGTGAAGTGCACATTCCCAGAACTAGAAAGCCTTTTTTTTTTTTTTTTTTAAATCTCATCAACTTTCCTTACTCAAATCATCACTAATAATGTTCCATTAGACCTTTTGGCCAAAAGTGCCTATTTTTCTGTGAGTTTTGGTCTCCTGAGATGGGAGGTGGGGGGAGCACTTAGCAGAGCCACTGCTTCTGACGAGGTAAAAGGGGAAGGGAGGGCAGGAAGGTGAAGGCCACAGATTTGTTCGAACATTCACAGTATCAGATATATCTGGAACAACTTCTTATGTCTTTGATCTAAAGAAGCTCCAAAAGAAAGAACAGGAGGAAAGAAGGAAAACAACACTACATTCTTAGCAGAGATCTCTGCCTCACCAAAACCACCCTCAACAAAAGGACAGGGATGTCTCCCTTCGGCGTGTGGATCAGGAAAGCTGCCCTGCCTCACATGGTAAAGTCACATCATTGCCTCTGAGAAACGGCTGGTTCACGAAGTTTCTGCCTGCATCGAAAGGGTATAAAAGTAGGGGAGGAGCAGGGAAGCCCCATTAAGCTGGCTTTGGCCCCCAACACAGCTGACAGAGCCTCTGGAGGATTTCCCCAAGAATTCTGTAGACCTGTCAGTATCTGGGTTGGAAGTGAATGGGGAGAGGCTAGGTTGAAGGGGTTACAAACCACCCCATTAAAAAAACACAAAGCTCTTTAAAAACAGTCCGCAGAGTGAAAAGTTGAACAATCTCTGGTATCACAATATAGAAAAAGGTATTAAAAGAATCAGCAACGTCTAGAAGACTCTCTCAGTATAAACCCCAAATAGAAAACAAAGTTAATTTTCTGGTGGTTTATAGCAATTTTGAAAGCCTGAAGTCTGACTGTTGCAGGTAAGCGTCTTTATCATTTTGCTGGTTTTCTTGTGGATGGGAGACAGGCAGGGAGTTGGGGTAGGACAGTTCCTAGAGGAGAGAAAGCAAACTTTTAAAATTCTGCAAAGGAAGACAGCCACCCCATCCCAGTGCCAAGTTCTTGTGGTCCCAGGTGCCAGGCAGGGCCCGAGCCTGCTTACTGAGGAGCCCAGTCCTCCCCAGTGATTGATGGCTTCTCTGAGTCATTTGTAAGCTACGTCTAGGCATAAATTTCTCTGGATTTCTGGCTCCCCAAAAGCAGCTACCCTGCTTCCATTTCTCGAGTCTGGCCTCTGAGCGTCAGCCCTCTCTTCTCTATCCCCTGAGCCCTCATTTCTAGACAGCCAGGTCCTGCTTTTCTTCGTTTTATTCTCCTCCTCTGGCCCTCTCAGGTTTAGACTCAGAGATACCTGTGACAGCAGAAAGCCTTCACTTTAGCGAGTCGCAGTGTGGACACCTCTGGGGGCTGTTTCTGGTCAGGGCTCTCTGATGTCAGGACAATGAACACCCTCCACCCCACCAAGAACTGCCCATACCTGAGCTCATTCCTCAGAGATTTCGGTCTCCTGATGGACGACCACCTTGGTCACTGACATGTCTGGGTGCTGCTCCTTCGCCTCCTTGATGGCCTGGACGAGGACCTGAGGAAGACAGAAACCGTGCCCCTGAGGCAGAAAGCAGCCTGACCGGTGAAGGAACGCAGGGGTCTCAGGATAGCATTTCTCTGGCAAATTCAATCTTTCTGTCTGCAGTACTAGGGCAGCATTTAGGTTAAGTGAGTTGATAATACCCTTCCATCCCCGATCCTGCAGAGGGAGGCTCCGAGACACAGAGAAAGTGAAGGCCAGAGCTGTCTTTAAGGAATCACAAACAGATGTCAGGGGTGACACCTGCCTGCTGGGTGGCTCTGGGAGGATTCACTCAAGAACTGAGTCTGAAGGACAAAGCAAAATCTGTGTTCCGGGAAATCCAGAACGGAAGAGGGAAATAAAGAAGCATGCTACAAAAAGGACGAGATCTCTTCGGCTACTGGAGAGGGAAATAAACAAGGAAGAGTGGGATGGCCTATTATATGCCATGCATTGGCCTAAGCACATTATTATTATTATTATTATTAAATAATCTTCATTTTTAAATTTTAACTTTTTTAAGATTTTACTTATTTGACAGCGAGAGAGAGCACAAGTAAGGGGAGCAGCCAAGGGACAGGGGAGCCTGATATGGGGCTTAATCCCAGGACTCTGGGATCATGACCTGAGCTGAAGGCAGATGCTTAACCAACTGAGCCACCCAGGCACCCCTATATACTTAATCTTCAGAACAACTAAATGAATTAGGGTAGTAGCACTGTTTCCACTTTTTAAAAAATTTATTCATTTGTCAGAGAGAGCACAAGCAGGCAAAGTGGCAGGCAGAGGCAGAGAGAGAAGCAGGCTTCCTGCTGAGCAAGGAGGCTGATGCGGAACTCAATCCCAGGACCCTGGGATCATGATCCGAGCTGAAGGCAGCCGCTTAACTGACTGAGCCACCCAGGCGTGGTCCCTCCACTTTTTTTTTTTTTTTTAAGATTATCTATTTATTTGACAGACAGAGATCACAAGTAGGCAGAGAGGCAGGCAGAGAGAGGAAGAGAAGCAGGCTCCCCGCTGAGCAGAGAGCCTGATGCGGGGCTCGATCCCAGGACCGTGGGATCATGACCTGAGCTGAAGGCACCTCCACTTTTTTTTAAAAGTAAACTCTGCAGTGGTGTGGGGCTCAAACTCATGACCCCGAGATCAAAAATTGCAGGCTCCACTGACTGAGACAGCCAGGTACCCCTCATTGTTTCCATTTTATAGGCAAGGAAACTGCGGTTCAGTGGGTAAATAAAGAGGTTAATGTTTCACAGCTAGTAAGTAATGCAGCAGGGATTTTTACTTAAATCTATAAGGCTTTCTTCTTCACTACACTGTCCTATAGTTTCGGGGAGACCCTGTACTAGCATCTGGAGGAGTTTCGATAATTTTAGGAAAGTTACATGATGCCTAGGGAAAGTCAGAGCAAGGACACCACTTCTCTCATTGCATGGCAAGTCTCTGAGCCTCCAGCTCACACAACCAAGGTGGAAGAGCCTTTGTGAATGGTGACATGGGGATTCTCAAGAGACGTGCCCCTCCATCAAGAAAGACACTGGCTAGATCTTACCACCTGACAGCTGACCCTGGCTCTTAAGAACTACCTCTAAGAGGAACAAGCAAAGAAGGGAAATTCTCTTGGTCTCTCGGCTCCATGAAAGCCATTCTTAAAACTGCTTCCCCTTGGGGCACCTGGGTGGCTGAGTTGTTAAGCGTCTGCCTTCAGTTCAGGTCATGATCCCAGGGTCCTGGGATCAAGCCTCGTATCAGGCTCCCTGCTCAGTGGGAAGTCTGCTTCTCCCTCTCCCACTCCTCCTGCTTGTGTTCCCTCTCTTGTTTTGTCTCTCTTTGTCAAATAAATAAATAAAATCTTTAAAAAAAAACAAAAAACCGTGCTACGTCTTTATAGCCCTGGTCATTGTCCCTGATCCTTTTTGCCCAACACACCTGCTCATGAGTCAAGGTCCAGCCCAACCCCTCTCTATGGCTCCTCTGACCTACACCTTTCCTCAATGAAAGGCTGTACCACATGATTTCTTGCTTAAAGTGCGTCCCCACCCATGCAGAGTACACCACATCTAGCTTTTGTGTAGCCCTCACACCCAGGAGAACTGAGGGACACAGGAGCTTCTCTCTGAGCTATCAAGTGTGTTTGTCACAACCACCCTGAAAAAACTTATGATTATCTTAATTTTACAGGTGGCAAAACTATAGCTCAGAGAAGTAAAATGACTTGTTCAAGGGCACACAACCAATAAGTTGTGGAATCTAGAGTCAACCCAAGGCTGTGTCACTCCAAACCCAAACACTTTCCGGTCCCCATGGCCCTTGCTGTCTAGCACCAACTGAACACACAGCAGGGGCTCAGACAGACCCCCCCAAGGAGGTGGGCGCAGGCTGGTAGCGCGGCAGGATCCACTGAGCTGGGGCCAAGAGGCTGCAAGGCCTCCCACTTGGGCTTTGCGGCCTTGTTGCCGGCACCCTGAGCCTGTGTTCCCAGTAGGGAGTCTCAACCTTGCTACCAAGGGAACTGCCAGCAGTGAGGCTCAGGGTTCTTTTCTTTTCTTTTCTTTTCTTTTCTTTTCTTTTTTAAGGCACTCAACATATCAGCATAAAGGCCGTGGAATTATTGCTCCAGCACTGCTGTCAATGATTCCAGAAGCATTTGCATGCAGTCCCTTCCACCCCCTCTTCTCTGCAGCTTTACTGTTCTAACCTCACCCAGCAGAGAACTGGGAGCATTAATTCTGACCTTATTATTTGCTAATTGCTTGCAGCACACAATTAGCACCTAATTAATACAGAAACATAGAGTTTTAGTGCTCAGAAGGGCCCAGAAATTACCTAGATCAACCTACTCTCTTTTAAGAGACAAAAAAGAATCAGAGGTAGTGTGGTTTGCCCAAGGTCACACAGTAAGTTAGCGACAGATTTAGGACAGGCTTGAAGTCAAGACTCCTGTCTGCACACAGTCCACCTCACTCAGCTTCCCTCGCCTCCTCTGCGGGCAAGTCTCCCCCTTCCCTCTGTCTTGCTATCTTCTTCCGTCCCCAGCACAGGTTTTAAGTACACACTATCCGCTGGACAGCAACAGCTCCGCCCACCCAGAGCCCACCATGTACCTCACACCACACAGCCCATTTCCCACGATTCTCACAACAACTTCGAGAGGAAGTTGCCATAATGCCCATCTTAAAGATAGGGAAACAGAGGCCTAGGAAGTTAAGAGCTAGAATTTGGGGAGACCTAGGATTTGAACCCAAGCCTTTTGAGTCTAAGGCCTATTTTCTTTCTATTACACTTCACGCTCCCCCCACCTACAGCCCCCATCCCATAGGCCTCCATGGTCTGATTCCCTTCACCCTCCCCATTTAGGTGTTAGAGTAGCCCAGGGGGTTTCTGGGGATGAAGCTGGCAGACGCATCTTCTGAAAGCCAACTCCTGTATCCATTCCTCTTCCTGCCCAGGGACCCATGCTGAATCCATGCTCCTCAGCAGTCTCACCTGGTCGTGGTCAATATCGGCATCTCCCGTGATCACGATTCTCTTCTCAATCCGGGTCTCTGAAATCCCACCTTTTACAGTCTGAAACCAAACAGAGGAGGTCACATGAGAAAGAAAGGAAAGAAGGAAGGGAAAACAAACTGTAAAAGATCATTCCGAAAGCTCTACTTCAAAATTTCATCTGCCGCTGGGTACTGTGTAGAACCGCGTTCTTACCCACTTGTCCAAATTCTTGGCTGTGCCTGCTAAAATGAGCACACCTGTTCTCCTGAGGATTGCTAAAATCTTTAATAAGCAAAACGGAAAGCTACAAATCTCTATTTTTCCCTTTTTCTTCCTCCCAAACATCACAGAAATTCAGTGAGTAAACACAAGAGGTGTTTCTTTTTGCTCTTTTCCTGTACATTTGATTATTTTCAAGAGGAAATTGGGAAGACTGTGAACAAAAATGTCACACAGCTTGAAACTGGGCTCTTTATTTTCAAGCACTTTCGTATCATTGATATCAAAAGATCCTTAAATAATCCCCTCAGGAACCCTCCTACACTGTTGGTGGGAATGCAAGCTGGTGCAACCACTCTGGAAAACAGCATGGAGGTTCCTCAAAATGTTGAAAATAGAGCTACCCTATGACCCAGCAATTGCACTGCTGGGTATTTACCCTAAAGATACAAACGTAGTGATCCGAAGGGGCACGTGCACCCGAATGTTTATAGCAGCAATGTCTACAATAGCCAAACTATGGAAAGAACCTAGATGTCCATCAACAGACGAATGGATAAAGAAGATGTGGTATATATACACAATGGAATACTATGCAGCCATCAAAAGAAATGAAATCTTGCCATTTGCGACGACGTGGATGGAACTAGAGGGTATCATGCTTAGCGAAATAAGTCAATCGGAGAAAGACAACTATCATATGATCTCCCTGATATGAGGGAGAGGAGATGCAACATGGGGGGTTAAGGGGGTAGGAGAAGAGTAAATGAAACAAGATGGGATTGGGAGGGAGACAAACCATAAGTGACTCTTAATCTCACAAAACAAACAGGGTTGATGGGGGGAGTGGGGAGGGGAGAGGGGGGTGGGGTTATGGACATTGGGGAGGGTATGTGCTGTGGTGAGTGCTGTGAAGTGTGTAAACCTGGCGATTCACAGACCTGTATCCCTGGGGATAAAAATATATGTTTATAAAAAATAAAATTAAAAAAAAAAATCCCCTCAGGGCAGGTACGTTTCCCTAATTGACAGATGAGGATAACCAAGGTCTAGACACATTAAGTAACCAGCTCCTAATTATCTGTATATTGATAAGAGAGCTTGGTCAGAAATCTAGGTTTCTTACTTACAAGTAAATAGATTTCCCCCTAGTGCTGCAGCAAACATGGACTGTCTCTGATTTCCAGGGAGTAGTTCCAATTTTAGATAACTTTTCTTGCTTGCTCCCATAAACAATATTCTAATAATTCCAGTATTTCAGCATGCAAACTGTAGTTCTCCTGGCCTTGATACTGGACATTATATAAAAACTCTTTCTTTTTAAAGATTTTATTTATTTGACAGACAGGCACATAGCAAGAGAAGGAACACAAGCAGGGGGAGAGGGAGAGGGAGAAGCAGCCTCCCCACCAACCAGGGAGCCCAATGTGGGGCCTGATCCCAGAATCCTGGGATCATGACCTGAGCCGAAGGCAGCCGCTTAACCAACTGAGCCACCCAGGTGCCCCAATATAAAAACTCCTGAGTTCTGATTTTTGACTTGGAAACTATGGTTGTATAATAATACCAATGACACCTGTCCTTAAACTGACTTTTTCAACTTATCTTCACAGCCAGATAGGGGAGTGACCAGAGAGACAGGCGGATGTGTAGAGAACAACCACACGTGGCTTTATGAGACTACTAACTAGGCAAGGGTGCCCCCAGGGTCCCCCTAGCTTTACTGCTGGGGAAGCATCAGGGCTTTTCCACCTGTGACAGTTGGAATCATTTGGCTCAGTAGGGATGGAGCTGAAAACCCTTGCTTCTAGACCAGGGTCCTTGTTTCAGAGAGGGAGCAAACTCGGCATGCCACTGAATTCCAGAAGGAAGTTCTAACTGGTTTGTTACCTTGGTAATCTGAGTTGTGGTTGTGCTGCTTGTGGTCTCAGATGTGATGGTCTGAGCTGTCAGCAGGACTCCTGGGTCCAAGTCCCCATTGCTGTCGTCAGTCTGCAGAAAAAAAATTCAACTCATCACCATGCCTCTCAGGAAGCCTATGGGCAAATATGGCAGGAGGCGGCTTCACTCTTCAGCTGTACATTCTAAAGCAAAAACCTGATTGCCTTACAGCGATCGCTTCATAAAGAAAACAATCCCCTGGCAGCAAGACTCCTTCTAAGAATGCTGGATGGGTCAGTTTCCCTACCACAAGGTCAATGACAGAAGCGGGTCAGAAAGGGGAGGCAGGACTATAGCCACAGGTCCAACAGGAGTGGCAATGGCTACACACGCGTGTACAACATTTTAGAGTTCACAATGGCCTTTCAAAACACTATCTTTTTTGATGCCCACACAAGCCCTGTGTAATAATTAGTAAGGGCAGAGACTGATTAGCACTCCCTGGTAAGAAAACTCAGGCCCAGAGAAGCCAGATGACTTGCTCAAGGACTCAAAACTTGTAAGTAGAAGTTGTCCACTCTACAAACCAGAAACTCTTTACACACCACCCAAGGCAGGAAAAGTATAAACTCTTGTGTGCTAAGGCGTGGGTAGGTTCTGAATCATAGGGTGGAACTTTCCAGAAGGGATCGGGAAATGTCCTTGCCAGGGCTCAAGGGGCCAGGGAATCTTAGGTTGTCTTCTTTGAAGACTGAGGGGGAGCCTGGAACCAAGGAGGTAGGAAATATCCCTTTAAAACAACATGGAGGAAACCTACATGATACTCTCAATGACATTTCTGACAACAAAACTATTACTGAAATGGACTATCCTGATTAGGGAGCATTTTAAAGTATTTAGAATGCTGGGCTTTGCAACTAATCTATACAGAGAACAAGGGCTGGGGTGACTTCTTATTTCTCTAGAGGTTGCCATATTATGACCAAAACAATTGCATAATGATCAGGCTGAGAAAGGACACTAGCAAAAAGGAAGAGAGATGGTTATCAACAGCCACTAGGCTGGTAGCAGGATTCAGAGCTGCCGACAGTCCCATGACTGGGAGGGAAAGAGAATTAGAGTAGAGGATGGGGGCTGCCCAGAGCCAATGCGCTGTCTAGAATATATGACCGGTTGGTTCCGGGATCGTACACAGGCTCAGAAGAAATTTAGAGAATTGCAGTTCTTTTCAAAAAGAACCCTGCAGTTAAAAAAGTGTTACATTACTATCTTTTCCTACCCTCTTTATAAAGTCATCTGTATTATAAGCAGAGGCCTCCAAACTTTTTCTGAGCAGAACCACATTTCACTGAGGCAAAATGTTACAATATGTGGGGGTGGGAGATAGGAAGGGCAGAAGAGAATTAGGAAGAAAAGAGTCTCTGGCTGAGTTCCTTTCCAGGTAAGAATCTAGACCAAAGAAAGAGAGGAGACCAAAGAAAGATTGTGACACCAAAGCCTTACATGCATGCCAGCATCATGACAGCTAGACGACTGGCAAGTTCATTAACACTTTCTTTAGTGAAGACCCACCTATCTACTTTAGATTCAAACTCAAGGAATCTTTATTGTACTCCTACTATGTGCCAAGCACAGGATGCAACTCAATTCCACCTCCCAATATCTGAAGTGGGTACTATTATTATCCTTGCTGTATAGTTGGTCCAGAGAAGTTAAATAATTGGTCAAGGCTCCATAGCTAATCAGTGTTTGAACTAGAATTTAGGGCAAGGCACTTCTTGTCTGAAGACTGAGGTTTGGGTCCCAGCTCAGACATAAGTAGCGATGGGATCCTGGGCGAGCCCTTCTGACTCTCTGAGCTTTAGTCGTCTCACTTGTAACAGCCAGTTCTGTAATACGGCCCTGCCCCCACCGTGGCATTGTTATGAAGATCTAAACAGACTGTAGAAGTAAAAGTACTTTCTACATCATTATAAGAATATAAATTTGGGGTGCCTGGGTTGCTCAGTGGGTTAAGCCTCTGCCTTCAGCTCAGGTCATGATCTCAGGGTCCTGGAATCAAGACCTGCATCGGGCTCTCTGCTTGGCGGGGAGCCTCCTTCCTCCTCCCTCTCCCTGCCTGCCTCTCTGCCTACTTGTGATTTCTCTGTCAAATAAATAAATAAAATCTTGAAAAAAAAATATATAAATTTGTGTGCCAGGAGGGCTAAACCTTTTTGAAGAGCTCCACCTCTACTAAAGTGGGGAGTCTATCATATTTCCCTACCTCCCACTGACTCCCTTATTCCCTGGTCTCTGTCTCTGAAGAAGCGGAAGATGGACGAGATGTTGTTATGATTTCTTACACTCTTCCCACATGTGGACTCTCTTCTTTGACCCTGTAACCAATGTTTCCTCAAAATGATGCTGTAGCTTTGACAGTTGTTTATAAAGTTAAACATCCATTTATCCTAGGGCCCAGCAATTTCACTCTTAGGTGTTTACCCAAGATAAGCGAAAACATGTGTCTACAATGACTTGCACATGAATGTTCATGGAAGCTTTATTCACATTTGCTCCAAACGAAACCAGCTCAAGTGTCCATCAACAAAGGAAAGGATAAACAAATTGTGTTACACTCATACAATGGTATACTATTCAACAACAATAAAAAAGTAAACTACAGATTCTTATAACTTTGATGAGTCTAAGAAAAACATGTTCGGACACAAAAGTGTACTACTGGATACTTCTATGTATATGGCGTCCAAGAACAGGCAAACCTAAGCTGTGGTTATGGAAATCAAAGCAGTGACTGCCTGGAGGGGCAGAGAGTAACTAGAATAAGGCTACGAAGAAAGTTTCAGGGGCAATGAAGTTATCCCAAATGTGTCTTGGTTACACAGGTATATATATATATGTGTCAAAATCAATCAAATGGGGGACACCTGGGTGACTCGGTTAAGTGTCTGCTTTGGGCTCAGGTCATGATGCAGGGTCACGGGATTGAGCCACAGGTGGGACTCCCTGCTCAGCGGAGAGCCTGCTTTTCCCCCTCCCTCTACCTACTGCTCCACCTGCTTAAAATCTTAAAAAAAAAAAAAAAAAAAGGTAGGCATCATTTTAAAAAAAGTCAATCAAATGGAATACTTAAAAACTACACATCCCTGTATGTAGATAAGCTTTACCTCAAGCATGCATACACGCACATATACACAAACAGTAAAATCCTGTTCTGGCTCCCTGTCTCCTCTCACCACGTTCCCCAAAGTGTGGGAACTGTAGAATAACTTAAAAAAAAAAAAAAAGGTTCCTGGACTAACCTGTTTGGCAAGATAATAAAAACAGGAGCAGAAATAGTTATAGTAAATAAATAACAATAGCAAATAACTGTCTGGTGTTTGTTATATGCCAGGCACATTTTTCTAGACATACTGCACTGCATCTTTTTATTTACCAGTTTATCCTACAGAATATTCCCATCAGAGGCTTTTCACAGCTGTATAGAATTACCTTCATTGGATGTACCACAATTTATCTAACTTGTTCCCTGTGACAGACATTTAGCTTGTTTCCGTGGTGGTGACAACTTAATCTGAAATGCACATTAGCTTATTCCTTGCAACAACCCTATGGAGTGGAACTATCATTGGTCCCATTTTACAAATGAGGACAATGAGGCACGGAGAGATTAACCTGATGGCATATCAGTAAATGATGGAGCTGGTTCGAACCCAGGAAATTCGATTCCAAAGTCAGTACTTTCTCCGTTATACTCCACCGTCTAGCATGAATAAGAAGTCATCATGTGTATTTTGTTTGACGGTCTTAAGCCCCGTTAAAATGAACTAAGATATGGAACAATATAATATAGTCATAGCTACCATTTTTTAATACCTACTATATGCCAGGCAAATATTATCTTTATTTTAATAACCTTATAAAGTTATTTTTCAGAAGAGAAAACTAAGGCTCAAAGAGTTTAAGTGACTTGCAAAAGGTCACAGAACTAGCAAGTGTTGGAATTAAGATCCCTAACTCTAAAGCCCACCTGATTTACCCAGCACATCAAGCTTCTTCTACATTTCCCTGACACATGAGTACATTTTAAAACAACTGCCTCCTTTTCCCTCTTTTACTGGGTCTACACTCAGACCATGTGGGCTCTGACAGGCAGCTCGGTCCTAACAACTTTCACGCATATGCTACAAAATTCACTTCAAAACGGAATAGGGTGAAATGTCAGTCTCCCTCCCACTCCTGACCACAGTCCTGGAGTCCCAGTCCCCTTCACCAGAGGCCACCACTGCTTTTTGGGTTTTCTTTTTGAGTACTCATTCGGAGATAATATATTCATGTACAAGCTTCCTCTTTCCCTCCTATAAACAGCATATTATTACACCATATTCCACCATGCCTTTTTGTTTTTTTAAGGATTTATTTATTTGAGAGAGAGAGAGAGGATGGGGAGGTGCAGAAGGAGAGGGAGGAAAAGAATCTCAAGCAAAACTCCCCCCTCAGCACAGAGCCTGATGCAGGGTTCAATCTCACAACCCTGAGATCACGACCCAAGCCGAAACCAAGAGTTGATGCCTAACTGACTGAGCCACCTAGGTGCCACCCCCCACTATGCTTTTTTATCTATTCATTTATCACATAGATTATTCCCATTAGAAGATTTTTTTAAAGAGCTGCACGGAATTATACTAACTGGGTATACCACCATTTGTTTAACCTGTTCCCTACTGACGGCGAGTTAGATTGTTTCCATGGCAGTAACAATTTAGAGAGTTTCCTACCATATGAAAGTAATTCTTACATCCTCAGGTTAATGACGTGCACAACCTTAAAGTAATTTCCTATTCCTTCCTTCTTCAATCCCCTGTACTGCCAAGTCCTAGTCATTCATTTCGGTCTCTCCTGTCCCAGCTCCTTCTCATCTCCTCCAGGTATCCTTCGGTTCTTTATAAGCATCTCCCCAGACTTGCTCTAGTCATAGCCCTGTCTCCAGGCATTGCCCTACTTTAAAATATTCAGCACACAGCCTTAGGAATCATCTGCCAAAAATCATAGCCTCAGTGATGCTGCTTTCTTACCACTGCTAAAAAACACTTCAAGCAACCCCTCCTTATTTACCAAATGCCACACTCTAGACCACAAGAGAGACGGGAGTAGCATGCTAACAGTGACTTAGCATCTGTGAATGGACCGAACACTGTACAGACATCATTCCACTAAATTCTCCCCCAAATATTGCAATGGAGGAGGATACTAGCCCCATTTTACAGCCAAAGAAACAGAGGGGAAAGAGATTACTGATTTGTTTCAAATTATCTAGCTAGTTATGTTGTTGAGCGAGGATACAAGTTCCATCTGTCTAGTTGCAAGGCACATGTTTTTTTTTTTGTTTTTGGTTTTTTTTTTTATAATTTTATTTTTTATAAACATATATATATATATATTTTTTTCCCCCAGGGGTACAGGTCTGTGAATCTCCACGTTTACAAACTTCACAGCACTCACCATAGCACATACCCTACCCAATGTCCATAACCCCCCCCCAACCCCCCTCTGGCAAGGCACATGTTTTTAATTGGCAAGGGATGCCAGTTCCTGAAAGGGGTATGGTCCTCCAGTTCACGGTGTGAAGATGAGTCGTAAGGATTTAGGTGAAATCACTCAGCCAGAGCTTCACACAGCTGCCTTGTTCCTGCCATGCAGGCTCCAGCCAAAATGTGGTCTCCTCAGAGAGGATTTTCCCGACAACACTAGCCTCAGAGGAACAACCTTTCATATAATCTCAAATTGTCTAACTCTTCATCCGATTTTCGTTTCTTTGGTCTAATACATCAATGCTCAACAAATACTGACTTATATTTGCTTATCAGTTTATAGGGGGAAAACGTTTTCTAACTTTTGGCTTCTATGAATAAAAAAAAGGAAAAAAAACCCCAATTCAACATAAAGCAACTCTTAGCTCATTCAAATTACCAATAAGGAAGGAGAAATTTTACTGAAAGTAAACAAAATTTTTATTTAAACAAAAATTTTAAATGCTTAAATTCTTGTGCGATTTTAAATTTAATTGTAATAAATTTTAATAATTTTTTAAAAATTTATTTATTTATTTATTTATTAAAGATTTTATTTATTCATTTGACAGAGATCACAAGTAGACAGAGAGCCCAATGCAGGGCTTGATCCCAGGACCCTGAGACCATGAACTGAGCCAAAGGCAGAGGCTTTCACCCACTCAGCCACCCAGGCACCCCAATTTTTATTTATTTATAAATTTTATTTTTAAGTAATCTCTACAACCAATGTGGACCTTGAACTGACAACCCCAAGATCAAGACTTGCACACTCCTCCAACTGAGCCAATTACATGTTATACAATATAATATAATAAGTTATATTATAGCTGTTACTTATTTACACTTTCAGGCATGATGCTCAAGTCAAGTCCATACAGTGTTGTATCTTATACAATCTTCATAATAAAATCATGAGGCAGGGGCCTTTGGCTCAGGTCATGATCCTGGGGTCCTGGGTTGATCCCCAAGTCAGGCTTCCTGCTCAGCCGGAAGTCTGCCCCTCCCTCTGCTCATGCTCGTGCTCTCTCTAATAAATAAAATCTTTTAAAAATTTTTTAAAAATTTAAATTAAATCATGAGACTGATACTAACATCATGGACGGGGGTGGGAGGTGGCAATCAAAGCTCAGAGACATTCGGTTACTGGTAGTAAGTGGAGTAAGTGGAGGATCCGGAACTTGACCTCAGATTTGCGTGACCCAAAGCCCATGACTGCCTTCCCTCACTGAATTGGGGGGATATAAGCAGTTAGATGCAAGACAACTTTGCTTTTAACGAAGTAAGTACTGTGGGACATCCTCAGATCAGTTATCTCTTCTAAAAAGAATTATGCCAGGGGCACCTGGGTGGCTCAGTGGGTTAAAGCCTCTGCCTTCGGCTCAGGTCATGATCCCAGGGTTCTGGGATCGAGCCCCGCATCGGGCTCTCTGCTCCGTGGGGAGCCTGCTTCCTCCTCTCTCTCTGCCTGCCTCTCTGCCTACTTGTGATCTCTGTCTGTCAAATAAATAAATAAAATCTTAAAAAAAAAAAAAAGAATTATGCCAGAAAAGCCTAGCTTTATTTGCAGCAAATGATTAGAGACTCTGTAAAGAAAGAAGGTTATCTATGGTGTTTACTCCAGTCTTTGTTTCTGAAACAGCACATCATGTCCCACCTGGGCAGCCTCGTAAGTGATGGTCTTGGTCTCAGTGTGAACAATAGGGACATCTTTGGTTGGGATTTCACTTTTCACAGCATTGGCAGTATCTGAGATGGTGACGGTCTGAGTCTTCACCAGGGGAGGCTGTGAAGCAGTAAAGAAACAGAGTTAGTTACCAGAGTCTTCGAAAGGCTGCGAAGAACTAATCTTCTGACATTGATCTGATCAAAGTGATAGCTCTAATCAAGCCAAGGGCTAGATCAATCTCTGCCTAAGCCTTGGACACTATTCCAAGTAGCCTTAACAAGGTGTCAAATCATGAGGGATATTAAAAAACAGCATTACTGTAATCATTTTCATATCCTTAATGGAAAGCTGTAAGATCAGATGGTTATGATCAGTGATATAAAACACTTTAGACTGACCTTCAGAATTTGAAACTGTTTGCCAAATAGCAGTCACTTTTGTTTGTCCTTGTGACTGTGCCATTACAATTAGGAAAATCAGTCACATTTCCTCCACTAACTACAAATGGGACATGAAACAGCAATGGCACTGGAATACTTTATTCTGGAATTCATTAACTTCTTTCAAATCAATGTCAGACATTTGCTTTGGATTTATTGAGAAGGAACAGTATTTGGAAAACTGGAAAGAAAATCATCACTCCTACCACCACCTGGTGATTAATCTCAGAATTTCAGAAGAATGAACAGTGGAGTATCGAAGGCTTCTTGTCCATCAGCTCACCTTGCCAAAGACTACAAATCACCCTAAAACTACCAGTTGATTGTGATAAAGTTAAGTGGCCACCCACCTTAGCATAGGAGATTAATGCCTGTGAACATGGAAGCCCTTGTGAGTGGGGTCAGTGGGGAGTGATGGGCTGTACTATGTGGCTGCAATACAGAAATCATGATCTGGGGTCTGAAATCTCAAAAAAAAAAAAAAATCAGTTGCCTCTTCTAATGAAGAATATTTGAAATTTTGAGCATGGCCTCAGAACACTAATGGCTCTTCACCATAGAAGTCTCAGAAATTCACCTCTGTATATAGCCCACACTTGAGCAAGGAAAAGAGGAACCCACTCACACCAGCTTCATAAAGATAAGCAGCTGGAACTTAACCCCAAGAGTTCTAAGTCATCAGGGGTGAAAGCATTTCTGGCCATGGAGTTAATTCCTCTGAATAAATTTATTTGTAATAATCAAGGGGTTTGGTTTTATTCTTTGATTCTGAAAAAAGCAGAGAGGTGACTGCCCTCACCACCACCACCACCACCGCCACCTCCACAGAGCAGATTCTGGCCCTCTCCCAGAGTGAGTCATTAGACCTGCATCATTGAATTGGTTACTACCTGGAAACTTCGAATGAGGGTGGGGAACTGGTTACCCACACGAGAGTCATGAAATGATCCATTTTGCTTTCCAAGTGGCTCTCCTGGTGTAACATGTTCTTCACTACTCTCTGCCTTTTTTTCACCAAGTTGCAGATGAGAGGAAGCTGGCGATACTGAGAAGTTTAAGGCACTGGCCTGTTCCTCCATTCCTATACATTCCCCACTTGAGCCTCTTGGTGTTTCCTTAACATCAAGATAGCCAGCTGCCCCCTGCTCCTTCTCTTCTGTCTCCTTGCTGCTTATGGACAGGGAGCCAAACTCAAAGCTTTGTGGAGACTCCGACGGGGTGGTCATTTGGCTCTTACTAGGAATTACTGAATGCTTGGGACCATCCCATTCAGAGTCAGGGTTGGTAGATGGCCCCTTTGCCACGGCAGCCGCCTCCTCTGTGCGAATGCCATTTATATTCTACAAATGAATGAACACATACAAAAGCAAGAAGGTTAGGAATAAGTAGGGAATACAGTGAACTCTGAGAATCAACAATGATTTTTAAGAGGTCTCGAAAATATCAGTATTAATATAAACCAAGAATCTTAGCTCCTGAGGTAGCCAAAAGGAACAACTGCTCTTCATTGATAAATATATTAGTGGTCTAAGCAGTTCCAACCTCATTATGGTCTTATTTCTATAACCCTGTTAACTTAAGAACTAATTTTGATATGCCTCACGTAGTACCAAGCACTTTCTGTTACTATGACCTTCCATGTATAACACATACTTTTCATACTTAAAAGAGTTACTTTGCCATTCCTGAATACCTAACTCGTTACTATACACAGGGAACAATGTGATTTATGAGCCAATCAAACATCTTCTCCAGAAGCCTGATCAGGTTGCAGAATGTTCATATCATCAAACCATAAATATCATACTAGGCCCTGACAGAGAGACTAAAATTTGGACTTTGGATGGCAGGGATTAAAACATCGAATACATCCAGAACAAATTTAATCCAACCACTGTCATGAAATTAAGTATCAAAAAATAGTGATTTCTTTGTAAACATAATAAAAGTGACCCAGCAGCTGAGACACACTTTTTTTAAAAAAATATATTTTATTTATTTATTTGACAGAGAGAGAGAGAGATCACAAGTAGGCAGAGAGGCAGACAGAGAGAGAGGGAGAGGAGGAAGCAGGTTCCCTGCTGAGCAGAGAGCCCGATGTGGGGCTCGATCCCACGACCCCGGGACCATGACCTGATCTGAAGGCAGAGGCTTTAACCCACCGAGCCACCCAGGTGTCCCGAGACACACTTTTTAAAAAGATTTTTTATTCATTTATTAAAGATAGAGCACACAAGCAGTGGGGAAGGGCAGAGGGAGAGGGAGAAGCAGATTCCCCACTGAGCAGAGAGCCCGAAGCAGGGCTCTATCCCAGGACTCTGATATCGTGTCCTAAACTGAAGGCAGATGCTTAACCAAATGAACCACCCAGGCACCCCAAGCTATATTTCTTCACAGATGAATGACCTATTGCCATACCTAAGAAGTAAGTCCTGGAAACAGTTCCTTCCTGGACCAAGTATCTTATACCACAGAAAAAACAGACCTAAAATAAGTACTTCTAAGAGAATGTGGATGACAAGGTAACATAACCATGGATGGACATAAACCTAAAGTTTAAAGAAAGGTTCTATTAGGTAGAGGAGAAGGAATTCACATGAGTAAAAAGGGAATATGAGCCATGTGAAAAACCAACAGGCTGAAGGAAGAAGCTAAATGTCAGGAAAGGTAAACACGCGCATGTGCTCACCAGAAAGCCACGTGGGCCTGAAATTTTGCCAAGATCAATTTCCCATATTACATACCACCTACGAATTTACTAACAGAACAGGACTCTTTTCAAAAGGTATTCCTGGAGTCAATGACACATGCTTGGATTGCGTACGTACACGTTATTGCTCAAATCACAAGACAGGTATTATTATTTTTTTAAAAATTGCTGCTGCTCTTTGACTTGTAAACCAACCTACGTTGTGATGGATATAAAGCAGTGCCCTATTAAGTCAAGCAAAGAGGCGCTGCACTCAAGAACTTCAGGACATACTTCTAAGCCGTCTTGAAACCATCAACTCAAGAGCATCCCAGAGTGGTACAAGTTGAATTCGGATTAGGCAGGTCTTTCATGGACTGATTATGAAGATCATATGATCACACAGGGCATGAAAAATGGGATTGAGAGAGAACAACAGAAACTGTCTTTTTCTGCAGATGAATCAGAGACATATAAAATATTCTTTTTTTTAAATTTTTTTTATTTATTTATTTGACAGAGAGAGAACACAAGTAGGCAGAGAGGCAGGCAGAGAGAGAGGAAGGGAAGCAGGCTCCCTGCTGAGCAGAGAGCCCGATGCGGGGCTCGATCCCAGGACCCCGGGATCATGACCTGAGCCGAAGGCAGAGGCTTAACCCACTGAGCCACCCAGGCGCCCCCACATAAAATATTGTTAAGGGTATGTGAATTTCCTCATACTTAAATAAAATGAGAAAAATACCTGGTTTGACTCATGGGGTTCTGAAGATCAAAAAAACCAATATACGTGAAAGCACTTCGTAAATTCTAAAGTGCCATATAGAGGCACTTAATTCAACTGAAGTTCTGAGTACCTAGAATATGCTAGGGCCTTATTTACTAGAATAAATTAGTTGTTATTATTTACGCACTGTATTACTTTCTAGGGCACTTTTCTCACCATTTCTTTTGAGTCAGACCAAGCTGTTAGAGCTGTCCAAAAATAGATCAGTTGGTAATAAACAAATAGACTTTCTCAAATTGCTATATGCTAGCTCTAACACTGTGAACAGCATATACAAACTCACTCACATGGAGAAAAACGTCACGGCTTTTCCAAATAATTTTGTTACAAGTGAGAAGGCTGATTTATAACCAGGAAAGTACCTAAGAAAATCAAGGTAAAGCCAATTTTATACCAGTCTGCTCAAGTGATACGTGGTGGTCTGCCATCAAGAAGCCATTTGTGAATTGAACATAGCTTAGGCCAGGAACACCTGGCCCAAAGTTGCCTACTGTTGAATAAAACTAGATCAAGCAATAATTTTTGTTTCAAAGCATGTGCAGAGGAGACCACCAATAAAAGCTGCAGCCATAATAACATCAATTCAACAAATATTTGCAGACCACTTAATACATGTTAGTCACTGGAAATAAAAGGAAAATTAATAACAGTTGGGTTAGATTATCACTTAGAGCATTCTCACATATGGTTAAATCGACCTTCCCAGTTGGCTCTGTTGTCCAGATCTGGACACAGCCAACTACTTACTGGACATCTTCCCAGCCATATGGAAGGCAATATGCCCCAAGCTAAACTCATCTCTGCCGCTGCCTGGACCTGCCACCCCAACTTCCTCCATCATTTCTGTTATATTGGTAAATGGCACCATCATCCGTCCAGTCTTCCAAGCCAGAATCCTGAAATCATCTTCAATGCCTTCCTTATATTCATCCAACAACCCCCATGAATTAACCACAAGTCATTTCCATTCCATTTTAATATTGCCCTTATCTATCTGTTTCTATTCCCACGCTTACTACCCTCAAATTCAGGCTCTTGTAATGCCTCACTTCACTTACTGCTAATGCCCTAAATAGTTTTTCTTCTTTGCTTTCTTCCTTCCTTCATTCTCATCTCAAACCTCATTTATTTATTTATTTATTTATTTATTTATTTGACAGACAGAGAGAGAGAGAGAGACAGGGAGAGAGGGAACACAAGCAGGAGGTGTGACAGAGGGAGAAGCAGACTTCCCGCCGAGCAGGGAGCCCGACGTGGGGTTTGATCCCAGGACCCTGGGATCATGACCTGAGCCAAAAGCAGACGCTTAACAACTGAGCCACCCAGACGCCCCTCAAACTTTTCTTAAACAGATCTTCTACTCTGCTGCTAATGTATTTCTATTTTTGTTTTTAAGATTTTATCTTTAGAGAGACAGTGAGAGAGAGAGAGAGAGCACGAGCCAGGGGAGGGGCAGAGGGAGAAGCAGACTCCCCAGGGAGGGGGGGCACCCCGCTCAGGGCTCATTCCCAATCCCGGGATCCTGGGCTCATGACCTGAGCCACCCAGGCACCCCTAAAGTATTTATTTCTAAAATGAAACATCGAGAATTCCATTTTGCAGCTTAAAAGCCTTTAGTGGTCCTTCACTGCCTCTGGTTAAAGTTCAGACCCTTTAGTAAGACATAGAAAATAGTTTAAAATATGACTCCTACCTCTCTCTCCAGCTTCACCCTGCCATACCTCCACAGATACCCTTCTTTCCATTAACCCAGTTTCTAGAACAGAGCATGCTTTCTTTTGCCTCCCTACCTTTGTAAATATTGTCAATATTGTTCCTTCTGCCTGAAAGTCCACGCCTGGCTCAAGTGTCATTTCTGGAAGTTTCCTCCTGACTACCTAGAGTATGCAGATACTATTCCTCTTTTGTTCCCATTGCACCTTGTCATTAATGGTTTAGTAATCCATCTTTCCTGTTAGACTGCGGGTTTCTTGTGTGTATGTGGGGAGGGTGGGTAGTGGAGATAAGGATTTCTTATGTTACTTAGCTCCGTATCTCTCTTGTTCAGTTTTTGGCACATAATAGATGTTCACTAAAAACTGAACATTGCTGAAAGTATATTCAATAAATCCAGGTGACTTGAGAAGTTCTGCTTGGTCTTGTGCTATTTAAAAACTGAAAAGGCATGTTTAAAGAGAACATACAAAGTGGGAGCGCCTGGGCGCCTCAGTTGGTTAAGCATCCGACTCTTGACTTCGGCTCAAGTCATGATCTCGGTGTTGTGAGATCGAGCCCCTCATCAGCTGGGCGTGGTGCCTGTTTAAGATTCTCTCCCTCTCTCGCTGTACCCCACCCCGCCACACACACACAAAAGGAAAGAATGTAAAAAGTGGTCCACTGGACCAGACCCACTCTCTCATCCAGGATTTTATCTCCTACATCAGTAAAGAGGAAAAGTGATATTATTCATGTTCACAACATTCCAGATAGCGCACTAGTCACCTTAATATGTTTCCTCACTTAATTTTTCACAACCTCACTATGAAGTAGTCACTACCTCTATTTTAGAGATAGAGATGAAGAAACAGGGTAAGCAACTCACAGCTAGTTAAGTGATGGAGCTAGGGTTTAAACTCAAGTTGGTTTCTCATTCTAAAGCCCATTTCTTCCATGGCAACAAAGTGTTTTAGGTAAGACCAGAGGACATGTCCTATTATGTTCAAAAGAATGTGCATCAAACCTGACTATACTTTTGAGAAGTACCGAGATTGTCCGAAGTCCTCTTAGTAGAATCTGATTTCAGTGTCCAGCACTATCCTTTTAAAAATAAGAAGGCTGAAAGGCCAGAAAAGATGGAGGCAAAAAGAAGATACAAAGTCTCCATGACA